GAGAGAGAGAGAGATCGGGGCAGTCCAGGGTCGTCGCGTTTGACCCCACTTTGCCACATCCTATTTAGACCACTTATGAATCATATTAACATACCATGTTGCCACACGGTATCTCTATGTAGAACGGCCGCGGTAAAATGACGGGACTTTATTCTTCAATTAATTTCGTCGATTTTGTGACCCGTCGAAGAGAGGCTCGATCTCCGCCAGGATACGTGATAAATCAAAAATATAAAAGCCGTCACTGAACGACGGCCTTTGCGTCCAAGAGAAATGGAGTCGTCTGTCAGGCCTTATCCAGTGACAGTTCGCGCGGCAAGAACTGGTCAATCTGTGTACGCGCCTGAGTGACACGGCGTCTTTTTAACGCGAGAGACGGAGAGTAATACCAATATTGAATTACTAATTAGCAACAAGGCACGCATGCGATATGACTCAGACTTTCTGCCTCATGTTAAACATATAATTCGTGCAGCTTTGCGCTATCGCAATCGTCTGGTTATTTCACGCAAGAAACCGAGCCACGCGTTAATCAAATTACATTGCCACAATTATTGCCTTTGAAAGCATTTAACAAAAGGTTCTATCAATTCTCAGTCAGGTTGGATGATGTAGCTTTATTATCTTCTTTTTTTCATTCTTTTTTTGTTTTAAACGTGCCCCACACACACGTGACATCGACACGTCGTTATCGCGCACGATGAGGTCGCGTTGGACGGTTTCAACCACGCGAATCGCAAGAACGATAAATTCCGTTATCGTCCGCTCACACCCGAGTCCGGCCTATCGACCGGCCGTTTTCTTTTTTCCGGCAACAGATTTTTCGCCCCAGTTGAAGCGTGCCGTAAATTAAACGACATGTGACGCGCAGACGAGGGTGTGTCACTTCATGGACGAGTGGTCCCGTTCGATTAAACGCGAGCTCACGATCGTCGCGACGATCGTGAGTTTCAATTTTATTCGGACTCTCGTCTCTCGTCTCTCGTCTCTCGTTGAAGCAGCGAGAAGAGCGGAGAAAGCAGCATCGCGCATCGTTCCAAGCCGGGAACGTTAAGTCTCACACAGATGTGTATTTATGGAATTATTTCCATCGCTGCATTTTATTTTTTTATTTATCTGCGGTCTCGCTTTTTCAAAGGATCAATATTTCTTGTCGCTGCCAACGTCTGCCACGGATTCTCGAGTTTGGAGAGCAATCGTTTTTCGTTTTTTTCTGATGCTCTCAACACGCAGAACAGAACAGTCGGCACGAAACGGACGCGTTTAACTCCGTCTGCCTACGTGCGACGAGGATCCTCCATTCGCGCTCGTCGACTTTAACTCATGCGACGACCCGATGACGTCAAATGTATGAAGAGAACTGTGATGTCATTGTATATTTTTAAAGACTCGCGAGACCTGGCATTTACTCCCGACTTTTCTCAGATTTTATGCGTGTTTTCATATTTCTTTTCAGCCGTCGGCATATAAATGCTGGCGGCGCCGACATTTGCTTTTGTTTCATTGAATTCACGTGGAGTTCTCGCAAACTAAAGTCATTTGCTCGATAGAACGCGTTTTCTCGCGTGATTTATGTGGGATGTGTAACACTTGGTATTTACGGATCGAATATACCGAGGAAATTTAAATAAGGCGAAAACATCAACGGTTCAAAAATTCGCGAGTTTTTTGTTTCATTTTTTTAAATTGTTAATCTTAATTATCTTGCAAATTAAATTTTATTTTACTTTTTATTAAAATATTTTCTCAATATTATCTAAATATAATATTTTGCCTATGAGAGATTAAATTCAAAGCCTGATCTTCCAATGCTTTTTAGTTCTTTTTTATTAATTGCTTCTCCGAAAATAGAATTACGTTCAATTTTCCTGTAGAAGTAGATAAAAATCAACTTTGTTAGCATCCGCGACGGAATTCGCAGCTGACGGGCAATTAATTCGTCGC